AGAATGCAAGTAGGAATGTTGATGGTGGAAACTATAAGAAGATCAGGAATCTGGATGGTTGGAGATGACTTGTGATAACCACTACAGTTCCAACAGGGATTACATTATAAATATACAACATAAAGTATGTGTAATGCATACTTTATTGATTTTAATGTTTTTAGGTACCCTTTCATTTTGGCCATGCTCTGTGACAACAAAGTTCTGAAGATTTTTTCAAATGTTGCCCATTAACACTACAGCTTATGAAGTGTAGCTCATTTAGAGTGTTTTTTATTGTATTCATCTTGTACCTATTGCTTAACCAGGTTTGGTGACCTCTTCTTCCACTGTTCGAAGCAAGTTCTTTCACATTTCTAAATTTTTCTGGGGATTTTTCATATAGCAGGTGATGGTATTTGAACAATACCGTAAGCAGATGTGCTGTTAAGTGCATCTTTGATAGTTAGCTCTGAACAATGGTTTATGCAGTGGATGGCAATAATGATGTACATTTATCTCTACAGAGTTTTACCATCCTAGCTCATTACCCTATATTTACTGAAACACCATCAGCTCAGAAGTTCATAAGTTACTCCTTCCAATTTAAAACTTTCATCTCCAAAAAATAAACCTTCAAGTGATTTAAACAGTTCCTAGGTACTGCTAGAATTCTACAGTTTTCAGTCTGGGAAAAAAAATCAAATTTTATAACTGAACTGGCTTATGCAAATATGATATGATACAAAAGAATCTACTGCATTACTAGCTTATACTTAAATCAATTCTTATTATTTGAATTACAAGTCAATAATAAGGCTTACTTATAACTTCTGCAATACGTGTATGTTACTATACTTTTATGTCATTGGTTCCTTTAATAACTTTATTTGTATTCCTTTAACACTGTCATTGTTTCTCTACACATATCCTAGATCTTTTTTTAATGACTGACAGTTGGTTAACACAAGGCTATGCACAATGAAAGCAGTGCAAACTGAACTTTATTTTGTAAAGAAGCTAGTCACAATCTCTCCATCACTGACAAATATTTCATAAATTGGTTCATGTTGAACAGTGGTAAAATAGCAATGTATAAAGGCTTTGATAGTTTCTGCAAAATTGTTTCTTCAAGACCTTTACCAATTCATTTTGATTAACATTTTATATCAATTTCTGTTTTGGTAAGCAGAAGTGAAGTTAACCCTGTATATCTTTTTCAGATCAACAAACAACTAAACATTTAGAATGGCAGTTCTTGTTCAGCCAGAATATAAGTGAAGTCCATAAGTTTTTCTGCCTTCTCTCTCTACCTTAGCATTTGCAGATTGTCACACTGCTCCATTAAGAGTAGTTTTATGAATGTCTGATATAATCAGTGAGGATCTGTTCAGTTTTTCAATATCTTTTTGAATGTTATCCTTTTTAAAAGTAAATGCAGTTACAACTGCATAAAAAAGAAAAGGCAAGTTGTAATTCTATACTGTTCTCAGCCTTGAGGTGGGCTTTGTACAAAGCAAACAGCTCACTTTGGAAACTAGTGTATCCTTACCCTTTTTAGTTTCACAGTATTCTTTTTACTGTTTGGATCAAGATCACTCTTCCATTTTCATATACATGTTATCTATGTGGAAAATCCTAGTCAAACAAAAAAGACAAAAGTTTCCATTAAATTTATAATTAGGAAAATAATGAATTGCAGAAAATGTATTACAACTATTAGTATGCATCAAGAAAATTGAATAGCATTTGAATATTGCATATTAAAATACAATGTGGTAGTAACTATGCTCATCCCTGAATTATTAGTTAAGTCTCAACTATTTCATGTTTACCCTGACATTTTAGCCTAAATATTATGAATTTCATTCTCAGTTTTAGGAACTAATGATGTAGGGAACAGTTGATTAGAGAAGGTACTAGTTAAGCACAAGGCATTAATAAAGGCATTCAAAGAAAAGGGCCATGGTAATTTAATTCTGTCGGGGATACTGCCAAGACTTAACTGTGGGTATGAAACTGTAAATAGGTCACTAGGGCTGAATACAAGGGTTAGGTTAATATTTAAGAAAGAGCACATTGGCTGGTTGTATTTATGGAATTAGTCAATGGGAAAAAGAGAGCTTTTTTGGAAAAGATGTTTATATTTAAATAGAATAGGGGTTAGCTTATTAACAAGTGTTATTAACTCAACTGTAAAGGCAACTTTAAACTAGGATTAGACACTGTAGAGAGATAGAATAATAAAGATAAATAAGATGTAAAGAGGGGTATAGTATGTGAACAAGGTACAAAAGAAATTTTAATATTAAACTAAACTATTATTATTGTAATGCTAGAAGTATCTATATATATAAAACCCACTGTCTGTTGGTAATGCTCAAATTGTCTCAGTAGTTAGAGCACTTCAAGCAGAAGTCTCATTTTCATTTGGGATTTTTTATAATCTTTTCCTATTATTAAGTGAACATGTTTAGAGCCAACTCTTTCAATATTCAGAAAATCATGAATACCATGATATTTTTAATTAATAGTTGTTAACATTGGATTTCAAAGACTGGATATTAAAGTAGCTCAGTGGTTAAGGTGCTAGTTAGTCAAGTTGGGATTTTGTTAATTTTTGTTTTTTTATAAATGATCATATTTACAGCAAGTTCTTTCAATACCATTATACATTAAACAGAGATTTGAGGTATTAGAATTAAAAGATGGGATGCTTACAGCATCAAGCCACCTCAACTTTCCTTTCCATTGAACACCTGTAACACTTTCTATAAAATTAATTCTAAATTAAAATTTTGAACAAAACAAAATAGTTCAGAAACAGTGCAAGAAAGACACTTTGCTTAGCAAGAGAGAAAGAAAATATAGATGGATGGCACAACAATATTAAGAAAGTCTATCAAAAATTAGGATAACTGAAGCAGAGGGAAAACAATTAACACAGTCTAATGATGCTCCTGAAGAAACAAAGAGAAAAAGACAAATATTTGCTGAAATACATCCAAATAGGTTCTGGCCCCCAATGTCTTCCCCTTGCATTGAATTGGTACATCAGCTAGTGAGAAATGAAATGGATTACTTTAGAGCACTGGTCGGAACAGAGGATTTTCAGATAATGGGAATAAGTGAAACCTGGCTAAATGGATGCATTTATGGTGAATTGAATTTCTTTGAAATACAGGGTTAAAGGTTGTTTAGTAGAGACAGAATACTAAAAAGAGAGGGAGGTGTGGCTATGTATGTAAAATATGAGTTACATCCTGTTCAAATTGAAGATATCAAAACTAATAACAATGAGATTGGGTTTCTATTAGTGATTATAAGGGGAAAAGGCTTTTAGTTGGAATTTATTACAGGTCACCAGATGAAAGTAATGAGAAACTCTATGGGGAGATAATGAATTCAATTGTAAATGAGGTTATTATAATTACGGGAGATTTTAATTTCAGACGTATAGATTGGGAAACACTAGAGTCAAACCACAAGTTTTTAGAAACTGTTCATAATGGTTTTCTTCAACAATTGGTTAAGGAACCTACTATGAACAATGCTATTTTATATTTATTGTTAACTTCTAATAATGAAATGATTGATAGTGTAGAGTTTGGAGAACATCTGGGTGTAAATGATCATTGCCCAATAAGATTTGATGTTTCATTGCATATGGAGATAAAGAATAATGAAATTTTGGTTCTAAATTTCAAAAAAAGCTAATTTTTAAGAAATGAGACAAGAATTATGCACTGTGAATTGGGCAACTTAATTAGTTGGAGATACTGATAAAATGTGGAAAATTTTAAAAACAAATTCTTAAATATTCAAGAATGGCATATTCCTTATAGACAAAAAGTGGTGGCTGCAAGTAAAAAATTAAGTTGGTTCACAAAGGTTATAAAGAATAAAATTAACAAAAAGCATTATAAATAACAGAAGTTTAAATTTGCTGCAACAATTGGAGATGGCTTTTGATTATAGTAAGTGTGAAGTAATTCATGTGGGATATCCCAATTTGAATTATGTGTATAATTTTAATGGGAATAACCTTAACAGTGTTATGAAAGTAAAAGATTTTGGTGTTCTGGTTGATCAGTCTCTTAAGCCATTCAACCAATGTACTGTGCTAGTAGTAATGCAAATGGCATGTTAGGTTGTATGTACAGAAATATTAAATACAAGTTTGAAAAATGTTATTGTATAGGTCATTCGTTAGGCCATATTTGAAGTATCATGTTCAGTCTTGTGCTCCTTACCTCAGAAAGAACATTGAAATCTTGGAAAGGGTTCAGAGAAGGACTACAAGGATAATACCTTGGACAGAAATGTTATCATATTAGGATAGTTTAAGATCTCTGAACTTGTTTTTATTCAAAAAAGAAGAGTTAAAAGGGATCTAATTGAGGTATTTAAGATTGTTATAGGAATTGATTGTGTTGATGCATCATCTTTTTTCATATTTAATAGTGAGAATGAAAGGACTAGAGGACAAGTATAAATTTTGGTAGGGAAGAAGTCATCTTCAGCTAAGACAGCTTTATTTTTCTAACATAGTAGTAGGCTTTTGGATATCGGGAGTGCCGTTATTTTATGGGAGTTTAAGGGAAAGCTTGATAAATATTTGAATGATAAGGGCTGACTTTGAGGGGATTTTTCTATAAGGGTTTAGTTTAATTTAGTGGATAGGATTTTACACAGTGTTCTCTCTTTTTAAAAAAAAAGTTTCTTGATGTAACTGAACAGTCTAATGTACAGAACTACAGCATAATGTACAATGTACTTTAAGATTTCAGTGATAATTAAATGTGCATTTATATGCTGTTCTGCTTTTGTAATCAGTGATGGTTTTAATTATTCAGAACTGATTGATACTTATACATCTAGTAACTGTTTGTATAGCTATTTTTTAGTTAATAAAATTTATTTTATGCATGGTATGTTATCTTCAATAGATTGTTATTAGAAAATTTCTTGGAAATATATCTTTAACTACTCTCATTAATTATTTTCTGTTTTATATAAAGGATTACCCTGTAGTCCACATTTCATTCATAACAAAGACAGGACAGAAAATCAAGGGATTGGAGCAAGAGAGAATTTACAACATCACTTCAAGTCTCCAGAGTATTTAAATCAGACTTCTCCTGGTTTAGCATCACGTTATATCAATGAACAAAACTCACCTGTTGCAACGTGCCCTATCAATGCCCTTCCAGATCCAAATAACACCTGTAGGAATGTGTCTACTAACTCTGGCCAAAGAAAACCTTCCTTTTCCAGTCCACGAACTAGTAATGGTGGACCTTTCAGCTGCTTGGAGTGTGGAGCTCAGCTTCAGACACTGTCTGGTTACCGTTACCACCAGCAAGGTCACTCTGGAGATATAGTATATAAATGTGATATGTGTGGGAAGGCATATAGTAATAGAGGAAGCTACTTTCGTCACATGAAGCATCATACAGAAAGTTTCGAGTGTCAGATTTGTAATAAAGTGTTCCACATGAAACAACATCTCAAAGAACACATGAAAAGTCATGGAGACAAGAATCTCTGCTGTCCACATTGTGACTACAAAACATGCTACAAGTATGCGTTAAATAGACATATTGCTATCAGACATACGTTCAGTGGAAATGAGCCATGTCCATCGTGTGGTGTGATACTAAAGTCTTATAGACAACTTGTTCGACATCAAGAAGCTTGTAGAAGTCTTTCACTGAAAGCAGTACCATGTACTGCTGTAGCAGCAACTGTTTAAACACTGTTAAAATATCAGCAACAGCTTTTTAAACACTTTGTTTATATAGTCAAATCATGAAGTACATTGTAGTCATTTAATTGACATGTATAAAAAAAATCAATTTCTTTTCCTCCTTGAGACTGACAGTCTTTTCCACTGATGTAAATATGTACAAACATTATATGTATGTAGCATTGCGTCTTTAGTTTCTTGGGATAATGTATTACACTAATTTTGGACTATTAAAAATTGTGGCAATAGATAATAAACAGAAGAAGAATTTTAGTAAATGAACATGGCCCCCTAGAGAAACTACCGACTTAGTTAATAAAATTAAGTACAAGGAGTATTAAAAATCAGAAAGTCTATCAGCTGAAGTTTCTTCAGTTTCATTTTATAAGAAACTAATAAACAAAAACTAAAGTTTCTTAACAGTCATAGGAGTAACAGTCCGTATCCAAGAGACATAAAAGCTTGAAACTGCAGGTAAGTACATGTTTATAAATTAAATATTCTTTACAGTATCAAATGTACTGGTGTTTGCCAGTGAATTTATCTTTAGTTTTGTTTCGTGACTAGCCATTACTGGATTAATCCCATTGATAGTAGTGTGCCTTAGCAACCACAGAGACACTACAATGATCACCCATGAAAATATTCATGTCCTGTAAGTACATTAACAGTTTACTTCTCTGTTAAACAGAATTAGATGGGCTATTGATTGTCATGAAAAACTGTTTTGATTCCTTCCTAGCAGGGTTTCAAGTCTCCATACCAGAAAAATTAGGAAAAGGACAGGTTAAAAAAAGCTGTAAAAATTAGGACTTTTATAACAGAAACTAGGAAGATGTAACTGTAGATCTTGCAAATATTTTGCCTCAAATATTAACACATCCTACTCACAAGTGTCTCTCAGGATTCAATGCTTTTAGCTAGTCTATACTGATGAAGACTTTTAACAATAATTTGCTATTCATTAGTTTATGTGTATCATTACAATAAATCAACATGAACCACATAACTTTTTTCTCTTATCAATAGAAATGTACAATACATCAAATTACATAATAAATTAAAAGACCTTCACTTCACATCAAAACATTTAAAGTAACACTATGTTTATAGGGCAAAATATTACCTCTACGTATATTATTTGTACAATGTATATAATAAGACTAAGTAACTGCCTACAATGCTTAATTTTTAAATCTTGTAATTAATCAAAACTGTAGTATTACTTCAGAAAATGTACAGCACTAGCATGAATATGAGTGTATGAGAATACACAAGTGTGAAATATTTGTTTATTTATTTTTTTAGATGATGAGATAGTCATTTATGATTTTCATTTCTTGGAGTCAGTTTTTCTTTCTTTCCTTACTGTCCTGATCAAGTTGCTTTCTTCAATTAGACCTTTTCTTGGATGCACCTTTATAAGGCTACAGGTAATAGATGCTCGACTGGCAATCTGTTGATTGTGGAATAAAAATCCGGCACTGAAAATTCTTGCCCTTTCAGTCATGGAAGTGTTATAAAGCATTGGTTTATCCCATTATTAGTGGGTAAAGAGTAGCCCAAGAGTTGTAAAAATGACAAGTGATTGAATTATTTTGTCATACAACAAATGCTTAAGAGGGCCCTTTTCCTGATAAAACAAAAAAAGTAGGAATTTGTTGAACACACACACATATATATATATATATATTGAAGAAATTTCAATTGGATAAGCATTTAAGTGTTTAATCTACATGATATCCTTTGGTATCTTTCATATCTGACAAGAGATATGTTTTTTCAAAGATCTTTGAGAAAGAGTATTTCTCTAGTGCAGGCCTCTACTCAATAATCCTAATCATTGCAGGCATTAGGCTCAACCATGTGTACTGAACATGTCTTATCCTCATACAACCCTAGATCAAACAGAACTCCAGAGAAATCCTCCTTAAGCCAGAAGAATAAATTAGAGATAGCAGTTCTGCATTTTCACCCTCGCCTATAAGTCCTGTGCAAGATGCATTTTGAATCACAAACATGGTACAAAGAATAACAGGCATCAATCCAAGAACGTGTAACCTTTCACTATTTCATTTATCTTTGTCCATAGAGGTTATTCACATTTGAACCATCTGAGTGAATGGCAAGAAACCTGATTCCTGAAAAATTCAAGAATCATGTGGGCCACATCTACCAAGAGCGTGCCAGACATGATAGATTTCCAGAAAGATACACCTGTGTACGTCTGACTAGTACCTGATTAAAATATCAAACTACAGTAAATCCTGAATTTAATGAGTAATATTGTAATATTGGTCTTTGTAAAAGTAGGGTAGCAGTCGATCATAAATTAAGTAGGAATCATTTGTGCAGCTCACTTGAAAATTCTCAACTATAGCTTTGGAAGAGATCAGAGATACCATCACATGAATCAAGTGAAAAACCAGAATAAGTTACCTTCATCATCCACAAATTTTCACTGTAACAAATGAATGTACAAATGCTATACCTGATGATCTGTTTAAAGGAAGTAGTGATAGCTGGACAGAACTAGTTGGAGAAGCAGTGTGTATATAACAGGTTTTGTTTCTGTGAAGTGCTGTTGAGTCTTAACAAGGAGTAGATTAAAAAAGTCTTGATGTTTTTTACCCTTTGCATGTTCACAAATATGTAATAATTCATTATCAGCACAAAGGAAATATTTGCAACATACTTTGCAGAATGTTTTAAATGGGTCACAAAAAAGTCCAGCCACAAATTTTTATGCTTGGACTGTCTGCTGACCATCTTTACAAAGTCTGAAAAATACATATAAAAGACTGGTGCATGCTGAGATATTAGTAGCATATCCTGATGTCCCCACCATCATCATATTTCTTGAAAAACTCTTTGAACTTACCATGTTGCCTTCATCATGGTATGCTATCACTAAAACATAAAAACTATACTAAGTGATAGTCAGTGATATCAGATATCTACTACTCATACAGCAGTTCATAATTTTGTTCAAAATGACAAGGGTTATTTTATAATCTTAATAATAGTTTATACATGAAATACTATTGGGACTGGAAACAGCAATATGTTTAAAAAAAACTGTACATTTGACTTCATGATGCACCCAATTGTCTACCTCAAATCTGAAAAACACCAGTACACTCCCTGCATGTAAACAAATGGATATAAATAATCTAAATGAGACACCATCATACAGAGGTGTCTTCCAGATAGCCACACACATTTTACTTTTCCTTAGTGCTGTCTTTCAGGTTCATCCAGACAACATGCAATCTCATGGCATCTTCTAAGATCTTCATTCAGTTCTAGGTGCCCTAAAAATGCTCGTTACAAACGTTTGTAGAACAATTTCCTAAAAGTATAAATATGTAGAAATAAAATGTAAAAATATTATCAATTCTGAAATACCTCTCTTGAAAATTTGCCAAAACTAGGAAAAGTAAGTATTATGAGAAAATAACAAAACAAATTATAATGACTTGAAACCCTGTGTTAAGGTTTACAGGTTCACTAACACTACGTGTGTATAGATAAATCAATATAAATAGCTTGTACATCAAGTGAAAAGAAAGTCTTTAATACATATTTGATAATGATTCAAGTTCCATTTATTATCATATGGTTAGTGTCTATTATCCCCTAGAATTTACATACTGCAATTTTCCAAATAAAATATTCTCCCAAATATAATATGCACTCTAATCTTCACAAACAAAGAATTAAATTTGCCTTATCACCATAAATAATATGCACTTAGACTTGTGCAATACTGCAGTCAAAGTAACCCTTTGATGACAAGAATGTTAGTGTTGTATAATTTTTGATTCCACCTTTGCTGTAGTGCTTGCTATCTTTACAATTGCAGCTGGTAAATAAACATCGTCAGAATTTTAGAGTATCCGTAAAATTACTAAAAGTGAGTTCACTTTAACGTTTGCTTTGTACAGAAATTGCACTAACTATTCAAGGACAGTGAATTTGAAGGTTTTACCAAAAAACAGTTTGTAATTTTGAGTATCAATCTTAATGTTGTGATAACTAGTTTTGTATTCCCAAACATTTCTATGCTTGCATGTAAGTAAGTCTTAAAAATCACTACTGAGCTTCCTAATCATTTCATTTCAAAAATCATGTTTAAAGATATTGAAAATGAATGAAAACGAGAGATAATTCTAACTTATGCCCTAGAAACAGAGAGAATTAATAAGACGTACCATCAAAGTGTGACATTTCTAGTAAGAATATATTGTCAGAAAAGATAATCTGTAGTAGCTATAAAAAAACATTTAGATATGTTACCAGATATACACACCCTAACTGCTAGATAAATTTTTAGTGAAAGAAATGTGTATTATATTCAGAAAATTATGGTACATTCAACACGTTCTAAATCTTTATCTCGTACCCAATAGCATAAGCAGCAACTCTTAATGTAAAATATATTTTATCTTTTCCCCTCATTACTTATCTGTGATTTTTTTTTGAATTATAAGATTTTTTAAACTATAATATTCATGATGTTAATATAAAAATATCCTTTCTTAGTGTTATTTTTGTATATAATCAAGTTTACTTAATTTAAGTTTGATAAAGTGATGAGAAATATTTTTATGCAGGTGTTTGTTCACTAATTTTTGGAATACAAGTGTAGATGTGCTTATATTTGAAATGTTTCATCTTCTATTATTCAATGTGAAAAATGTTTTATGGATGATTTCTATCACTTTTCCATACCTTAAAAATGTTTTTTTCCTGCAGTATTTTTTGTTGTCATTTAAATAGCAGTTAGATATATATATAATCATTGAACATGTTTTATGAATGGCAACTTTGAAAACCTGCTTTATTGTATTTGTTCCGTGCAAGAATAACCTGCAGTCAAGAGAAGTGATTTCTGTAGACCTTGTTACTTAAAAACCTTTAAGTGGAACTCATGAGAAGTCTGTACCATTTTCTTATGTTTAAGTGTTTGGTGTTCACTGTATGACATAAAGCTTTATTTTTGTATACTGTCTGGTTTTTTTAACATAGCTAGCCAATCTTGGTGCTTTACAAACACTGCATGATTGCATTCATTTGTTTTTAATACACTTATTATTATTGTGACAGATGTATATAAATGTAGAGTAAAACTGAATAAAAGTAATCCTCTCCATTCATGTAAATTTCTCTTTCATTCTTCCAAAATATACTGACAAAATCTGAAACTAAACTTAAGACCTTTCTAATGATGAAAATAACTTTTTTAAATTTAACTTACCTGATAATGACTTGACACTATGAGTTGAAATCGTTTAATTATTAAAATCATAACTTGCCTACTGTAAAAGTTGCTGTTATTGTATTTTTGAATTAATTAATATGACATTTTGTAACAGTAACAGGTGGTTTACTAGTGTAACTTAGGTTTAAAAGTGTTAAAGGATTTCTTTTTGTACTAACTTCTCATGACCTGTTATCACTACAGGAAAAAAAAAAGGTAATTTATCACCCATACAACATATTATCATTTATAACAAGCATATTAGTTCAGCAAATACATTCTGTAGTATGCAGTAATTCTGTTGTTTTATGTAAAGCATTATTCTAGGATATTTAGTATACTAAAATAATCATAGCAGTGTTAATCATCTTCATATCAGCTCTGAAGCATCATGTTTTCATTTGAATATATTAGTGTACAGAAAGTTGGAAAATATAGTACATGATTTTTCTTTCTAGTAGGACCAAGTGTAGTTGGTGTACTTCCCACTTTTCAGTTTTGTATAAAATATAATTTATACATCTATAGAAGTGTTTCGATCATAGAACCAGATGCCACTTTGAAAGAAGTATCCTGCATACACAGGTTTTTGAACTTTATGAGAAAAAGAAACTTCAGAATTTAATGTGTTTTCCTTAAATTAATAATGGAAACCATTTGGAAAAAAATGTTTCATAAATAAAAACTTTATTAATTCTGGGTTACTAAAGTATATAATCAGCTGAAGCTAAAGAATAAAATGGTCAGAATTATGATAATGCAAATATCTCTTGAAAAAAAAAAAGACTAAAAAAAGTCATGAAAGTGATAGAAAATTAATTTTAGGTATTATGAACGTTTTTGCAAGACAAATTAATATGTTACTGATGGCTATACCATTTTTGTAATTTTTTTACACTTTATATAATAGCTTTATGTTATTAGAAATCATTAAACTTGATTTTTATTTTTTAACAGGTATTTAAAATTATCATGTGTTTGCACTGAACAGCTATTAAAAGTAGTATTTTAAATATATAGAAAAAACAACATGCTTTCGTGATTATTTTATTAGCTAAGTAATTGTGATCAAGACTACATATACATATATTCAGCATCACATAAATAATTTCATGCTGTGAAAGTTGTTTTAGTAACAAGTATATATAAGAGTTAGTGAAAAAAAAAGAGTAGATATCCAAAGATATGGCTTGATATTTCTTAGTATGATTAGTTTGTATTAAGTTTTGTACCACCCTCTACCAACACAGAAAATTGTCCTTTTCAGGACTTCCCTGAAGACAGCAGCAGATTAGCAGCCAAAATGTAGGATAAAAAATAGTTAATAAATGTTACCTAGTTATAATAAAAATAATAATTAAGCTTAGGTGAATGAATATACTACTAACTATGATTCCAATTGATAGTCAATTGCCTTAATCTTATGGTAAGTACTTATTGATTTTGCAAGTCAGTCAGTAGATAATTTACTTGACTATTACAAACTTTTGTGAAGTATTTTCATAAATTCCATTGACAAATACTGAACTGCATATATATGAATATAACATATATATATATGTTTCCATGTGGGATGAAGAAGTTCTCTAGCTGAACTATGAGTGAACATGATGCTAATTGATTAGGTCTCAATAGAACTGTTTATTACTTAGTTGAAATGTTAAAATAATTTTATAACTCTGCTACAGTGTTACTGTTTCTTTTGTTTCTGGGCAAATTCTGCTGGTATGCATTGAAATTTTATTTTATGGAGGGGTAATGAAGAGTGTTTTATTAGAAAGCACAGTTAACAAGTATGTGTAAGGGTTGCATTTTAACAACATTTTATAATATCCTATGTCACTTTTCAAACAGTTAAAGGAGAATTTTTTGTTGAAATCTTGTTTCTGATCTAACCTAACAAAACAGAGCCATGTGTGGTCATTGAAAACTAGAAGCATTTGAATCGAATTTTTTATTTGTAATCAAGATGATAAAATAGTTATAACTAAGTGCACATACTTTTCAGTTGAGTATGTAACATATATTGACTATATAATAAAACATTTATTAAAATCTTATCCCAAAGTCCTGAGGCTGTGAAGGATAGGATTCAAAGAAAAGCATCAGTCCAAAGACAGTACCAATCATATTGTCATTCCTTTGA